ACTTTCTGTCCCAAAGTCCAACTACAAACGATGGGGTGACCGGGCCTTTTCGGTTGTTGCACCCAGACTCTGGAACCATCAACCTCAGGACTTGCGCACCATCACTGACATGGAGCATTTTAAATCTAATCTTAAAACCTTTTTATTCAGGCAGGCTTTTAATACCTAGTAGGTCTTTGACAATTTTGCTATGTTTTAATTGTTTTTGTTTTTAACTGACTGATTTTTTTATTATTCTTGTTTGTTTTTAACTTCTGTACTGTGCAGCACTTTGTGCACCTTTTGGCTGCTGGAAAGGGCTCTATAAATAAAGTTTGATTGATTGATTGATTGATTAAAACTAAAACTGTCCTAGGAAACGGCTGTGGGTAATACCTGAGCCATAGGATTAGTTTTGAGACCCGTTGGAGGAGAGGCTGCGGAGAGGGCGTGGCACGTGTCCTGTGCCTACCTCACTCGGGAAAGCACAGCAAGCACAAGGAAAGGTTAATAAAAACTGTATTTACGTGTTCGTTAGCCGTGGTAACGTTATCCATCATTGCAGTAACTTTAGCCACAGTAGCTAAAATATACAACACACGTTTAAAGGTTTACTTTCTATACTAACGTTAATAAAAACAGTATTTAAGTGTTAGTTAGGTAACGTTATCCATCATTTTCAATTGACCATTCTGTAACTGTGTAAGGAAACAGCCTCCAAATGGAAAGTAAGCTAGCTAGCAGCAAAAGGTAGCTAAACTATACACTGCTGCTGCCTGTCAGTGCTGTAACATTAAAATGTTTACTTTATCTATTAATCCAAAAAAGTTCAATCTGGTCCAATGGACATTCAAAAAAACAAAAAACGAAAAAGCAAAAAATGTAGATACGTTTCGTCTCTCATCCGAGAGACTTCCTCAGTCTGAGGTGCTGTTTTCAGCTCAGTCTCTTAAATAGCACCTTCTCAGAGTGGATCAACCAGTTTGCTGCTGACAACCAGAACCAGCTGATCACATGCTCAAGAAGGACCATCAGCCTAACAATGGATCATTAGCACCTGATGGCTGTTTACTGTTCACAGAGGGCTGAGTGATACTAGCAATCACAGCATTGTAAGAGGGGGACAGTTGAACCCGGAGGCCTCCACCCCTGTTTAATGATGGACGGTTTCTTTTCACAAAGATGGCCTCCTTTACTCTTCTCTCAAACCATCGTTCCTCTCTGTCCAGGATGTGAACATCTTCATCCTTGAAAGAGTGACCACTGGCCTGAAGATGAGTGTAGACCGCAGAATCCTGGTCTGATGATGTTGATCTTCTGTGCTGGGCCATCCTTTTGGCCAGTGGCTGTTTTGCTTCCCCGATGTAAGACTGATCACCCTCCTGACACTGAACAGCATACACAATATTACTCTGTTTGTGCCGGGGGACTGGATCTTTGGGATGAACCAGTCTTTGCCATAATGTATTTTGGGGTTTAAAAGCCACTGGGACATTATGTTTAGAAAATAAACGTCTCAGTTTCTCTGATACTCCCTCAACATATGGAATGACCACTGGTCTGGGTCTGGGTTCCTCCTTTTCACCTGATGGCTGACTGGAGTCCTGTTTGGGTTTCTTCTCTGCTTTCAGGAAGGCCCAGTTAGGATAACCACATTGCTCTAGAGCCTGTCTTGTGTGGGATTTCTCCTTCTGCCTGGCTCCCGAGTTAGTGGGGATGCTGTCTGCTCTGTGATACAGAGTCCTGATGACTCCTAACTTGTGCTCCAAAGGGTGATGGGAGTCAAACTGCAAATACTGGTCTGTGTGGGTGGGTTTGCGGTACACCTCAGTTTGCAAATGTCCTCTATCAGAGACTGAGACCTCACAGTCCAAGAAAGCCAACCTGCCATTTTTTTCATCTTCTCGTGTGAACTTGATGTATTTATCCACAGAGTTGATGTGGTCAGTAAAATGTTGGACTTCCTGAGATTTGATTTTAACCCAGGTGTCGTCAACATACCTGAACCAATGACTTGGTGGTGTCCCTGAAAAGGACGTCAAGGCTCTCTTTTCTACCTCCTCCATGTACAGGTTGGCAACAATAGGAGAAACTGGACACCCCATAGCACACCCATGTTTCTGCCTATAATATTGCTCCCCATATGTGAAGTAGGTTGACTGCAGGCACAGTTTCAAGAGTTGACACAGTTGTTCTGTGGAAAGTGTAGGGGAAAACCACCTCCACTTAAAAATATATCATTCATGTGTTTGTGTTTTAAACTGTTAAAATAAGATGCATTTATTCCCTTGGGAACGAACAGACTTTATTTTACAGGTGTTAAACTCAGCTTACAAACTCCTTAGTTGACACTAATCTAATTTAATGAAAAACTGTTATTGTGTTAACTTCAATTTCAATGTGAACTCATTTCCCACAAAACGGACAGATCGTCTTAATGGGAGCTTGTAGTTCATTTTGGCCTCGAAGTGAAACACCTACCGAGGAGTTTACTCCCAGAATTTTCCCATGGAGATAACAGTTTTAAAAGAATCCTTTGTTTCAGGACATTCTCTTTTCAGGAGATGAACAGCGACACCTGTTGGGCGAACATTGCATGTTTTTCCACAGCTTCAGAACTGAATGTTTCAGAGAAAATGTCTGTTTAAAGTAACCTCTCTAGGATAATCATGTTTATTTTTCTCCTTTTTAAAAGAAGTGTGACTTTTAAAGGCAGGCAGCGAAAATGGACTGTTATTTTATATAAAACATGACAGAGTTTATGAACCATATCTCATCCGGTGGGAGGTCCTAAGTAAATCTGTAACACCCAGACAGACATTTCACCTCTCAGTTTCTCTACACCACTTCTACTACACACTTCACCGCTCCTTATACATGAAGCCACTTCAACTTCTTCCCTAGTGAGATGTCCTGGGAAGAAGCTTTTCTGCAAATGTCTCAGGATGAGAGAACCTGGCATTAGAGTGAGATCCTAACCAGAGACATAGCTGCAGAGTGATAAAATCCCAGCTGACTTCAGAGCCAGTGGCCGGACCTTCGTCCCTCCAACGGTGATCGGTGACTTTTGAGGACACAATCCGCCTTTCAGTCACCGGAGCATCTCAGGCCTTGCTGGTATCATCATAAGCAGTTGTGGACATTCTGACAGTTTATTCTGGTGAGAGAGACCCTTCAATGCACCTTTCTGGTGATCATACATTAACAATAACATTAATTTAGACACAATTGAACTATACCCCAACAAACCAGTCCAAAATTCTGCCTTTTATAAAAAGTTACACTGAATTTAATATTCAAGTAACCTTTGACACAAGGTAATTTTGTTATTAATTTTTATGAATAATCTTCATCAGCTATATACATCAGAATATTATTTTTGTAACAAAATACATAAAATTCACTAAAAGTGTGATTATTTTGGCCTATCTGTGTATATTAACTGATTTAATGCCTTTAAACACGAGCAAGAATTCACGTTTCAGTTACATTTGAGGGTAGAGACTGATTTATTTTCCTCTCCAAGAGGTGGTGCCCGCATAATGAGGTTATTTGCATAATAAATGCATATCTTATGAGCTTAACTCATAACTAATAAATTATATAGATATCCGATCAAAAAATCCCTCAACAAAAATGTGGTCCTGCTGCTCAGAGTGGTGTCTGATTTTAATTTTAAACTGACCACCTCTACTGCATCATCAACAGGAATGCACGTAAAGAGTGATGTGACATCAAAAGAGACCATTGTTTCATCAGTCTCCATGATGACATCCCTCACCTTATCCACAAAGTCCATGGTGTTCTGTATGTGGTGTTCTGAGCTGCCAACTAAAGGGATGAGTAGAGACACCAGATATTTGGAAACATTGTAAGTGACAGAGTTAATCATGCTGACAATTGGTCTTAAAGGTACACCTTGTTTGTGGATTTTAGGTAAACCATACAGACTAAAATACCTAAAATTTAAAGTTTAAAGACATCCAGGCTTTGATGTCTTCAAGACACAACAGAAGTGTCCTAATTGAGGGGGCATCTTTCTTTTTAGTGGCATATAGATCTGACTATCATCAGCGTAACAGTGAAAAAAGATCCCATGCTTTCTAAGGATTAATCCCAATGGAAAAAAACAAGTCTAAAACAAGTCTAATATTATTATGAATAGAGATTGTCCTTTCAGAAAACCTGATTGAGTGTCACTAATTATATCTGAAAATCCTTTCTTGCGACTAGCCGCAATAGCATCAGAAAAAAATATTATAATCTGTATTCAGTAAGGTAAGTGTCTTTTATCTTTGCCTGTTTTAGGGATCAGAACAATCAGTCCATGTTTCAGACTTGGCATCAATTCTCGTTTATCAATACAATCCAATAGGGCTTTAAATAGTATTTTCTTTATATTTTCCTCCCCAAAAAATTGTAAAAATTTACAATGAGACCATCAGAGCCTGGGGATTTATTTGAGGCCATTTTCATAATAAGAGTCCAGCTCCTCCATTTTAAATTCAGCATCACAATTTTCTTTGAAGGAAGTCTCAATCTTAGGTATCAGAGTAGAAATGTTATTAAAAAGACACTCGCAGTCTTCTTCTGAGTATTCAGATAAGTATAGTTCAGAATAAAACTTAAAAACTTGATTCTCTAATATTTTAGGATCTTTACATTCATTCTCATTTATTAAAAGACTTGAGATGCAGTTACTCTGCTGTCTGTTACGTTCGAAGTTAAAGAAATAAGAGGAGTTCTTTTCCCCTGCCTCAATCCACTTTGCACGAGATCTCACAAAAGCACCTTGTGCTCGGTCCAAATAAAGTTGATCTAACCTAACCCTAACCTTAACCCTAACCATAAGTGTAAGAGTAGCCATAGCGTGAGAGTAGCTGTAGGGAGTTAGTAGCCAAAGTGTAAGAGTAGCCGAAGCATCAGAGTAGCTGTAGGGCCTTAGTAGCCAAAGTGTAATAGTAGCCGTAGCATGAGAAATGTAGGGAGTTCATAGCCGAAGTGTAGGCGGTGACTCAGACCTGCAGTGCATGATGGAGGAGTGATGCTCTCCGTACTCCTCCTGACTGAGTTTGATGAACGGCTGTTCCATGGACAGACCTCCTCCCTCTGCTCCCGCCGCACAGATCCTGCTGTTGAAGGAGTCAGGAGGATCGCCGGAGGTCTCTGGAAGAATTGGTTCTGCCTCCTCCACCTCCACTCTCCTCTCTGGCGTCTGAAGACAAAAATGGCTTAAGTAAACCAGACGACAATTTGTTTGAAAGGCTAATTAACACTAAGTAAAACTAAATTAGTTGAGGTGGTAATTAATGATGGCCACGTATAATTTTTTTTAACTTGTCACTCATTCTCACAAATTAACAGGTTAGCGTGAACACACCCAAACTCTCATTGACTTCCATCGTATCTGAGCTCAGAATTTAGTCTTTAAAACAGGAAGTACAGTAAATATTTTTAATTTGTCATATCTGCTTAATAAAACACTGTAGAGAAGGGCTATTCAAGTAAACTGCTCTGGGGGTGGGGCCACAGTTACTGAGCGCCAGAATTTCAGGGGCCGAACATCCAGCTATTAACGTTATGTAAATCACATTCATACCAGTGGCAGCTAGCCAATAGAGGGCGCCAGGGCACCGCCCCACCACACACCACATTACCTTGAATAAGATCTAAAAAAAATGAAATAAAAATAAAATAAAAAAAATAAAATAAATAAATAAATAAATAAAAATATACTATATATATATATATATATTATATATATATACAATATATATATATATATATATATATATATATGTAGTGAACTAAGCCTAAGGTCAGGATTTGACCTTAAGGACCATATGGGACATAACTTGTCATTTCATTGATTTGCATCCAGAAATACAGGTTGACCCATCCTGAGACTTTCTTTTCTGTTATTAATCAAGTAAAAGAAGACTATTTTCTATTATCATTACTATTTTACAAATGTTTGATAATCAAATTGTGTTTTAGTTCAAACCATTTTAAATGTTGAAGTGAACTAATCATTTAAATCAACTGTGAAACAGTAATAATGATTCTTAATCCTCATTCAAAGAAGAAATCAGGTTAATATGCATTGTCTGATTTTCTGTCTTCAATGAGCGAAGTTGTAAGTGTGTCGAAGTTCAAGTTTCGGTCAACTGAAAGTTTACTGAAAAGAAATGTCATATTTAACTTTTACAGCAAGTTACTGGAGAATTGACTCCACGAAGTCTGGTTCCTTCATAATATCTTTCTGTTTGTTCTTAAACAATCTTAATCTTTTCCTTGACTTTTCATAACACCTTACATCACAAAACACACCTCTGTTTTGGTCCATCGACCAATCAGAAACTCCCAAACGAACCGAAAGTAGAGCCCTTTAAATGTTGGCACTTCCTAGTTCAACCAGAGAGTTTGGAGTTCCAGAATGCAGAATGCTGGAATGCAGCATGCTCAATACAGCTGCCACTAAGCTGAACGAGAGGAGATTCTGGGAATTATGAAAGTCTGTTTTGGATGACCTCCACACGACTCCCGAGGTTTTTAGCTGCTCTTACGGAGACACTGAAAAGGTGGCTCGAAGTGGGACTTCACGCCGGAACTGATATATCTTCAGAAAAGGTAAAAAGTCGATCTTCAACCGAAAGTGTACCGTTGGGGACAAGCTGATTTCCAAAGGAGCGTGCATGTTCTGGTTAAAACATAAATTCCCTCACACATCTCTCTCAAGATAAACTTCATCTTTCCATCTTTAAAACTCTTCTATCTGCTAAAATCATTCCAGATATTTTTAGAAATGTCTGAAGCAAAGTTTTTCAATCACCGCCGTGTGGTTGACGTCTGCTGTGATTAATAACGTTTGTCGTTCTGATGGAAGTGAGAAAACAATCGCCGTATTGTTCACTTCCTGTAAACTGATTAATAGCTGTCGTTATTTTCAATTTTTGCCAATTAATGTAAATGTGTGATGTGTTAAACTTGATTATGTTAATAAATGACCCACTGTCGTGGTGAGTCAAAGATAATTAACGTTTCCGTCCACATTTTTGTTAGATTCAATGCACGTACATTATACAGTCCAGAAAAATGAAAGAATCCGTTTTAACAGTATGAATATATCTCATGTATATGTTCTACTACAT